TGTTTGTCATAATCATGTGTTGTGATTATTTGACAGGAGTTTTACTTTTAAAATGTAAGTGTATTAATTTAGTTATAATGTAAAAACAATAAAAATTAAACCAAGATTTATAATAATTATCATTTTGATCCATACATTGGTAAAGTCTGACTGGACCTCGTGTCACTTTATGTTCAATAAATTGGGCCCTGAGGTCAGAAAGGTTAAGAAGCTCTGGTTTAGGACATGTGATGTGAAAGATTCTCAGCTACCACACCTAATATTAGATCAATATTTGTAAAATTGGCTGTTTGGCTTCTTTTTATTTATGTTTTGGAGGTCAGTTGCCTGCGGCGGCCATCTTGAATCAGGTTGAATCCAAAGGTTGGTCAGTTTCAGGTTCACGTCATGTGTTGAGGGGCTTTTACAATAACAGCTCGTGGTTCTAGTTTCTGTTTCATTTCTTTTTTATTGAAATCAAACGTTCCTGTGTTCTCCAGCTGGCCAAAGCCTATGGGATGGACTTCTTTGAGACAAGTGCCTTCACCAACCACAACATCACAGAGGTGAGCTTTAAGGAACTAAAGACGTTTCATCACCAACTTCTCAGGATGCTTTCTCATAGTTGTTCTTCTGTTTCCGTGTTTCGCTCCAAGACTTTTACACGACTGGCTGAGCAGGTGRTGGCAGCCAACAAAAAGGACCTGGATCTTCTCCGGATGTCTCTGAACGATGAACTGAACCTGGCAGCTCTGGAGGAGGAGGAGGGACTGAGTGACGGAGCAGCAGGCCATCAGCACAGAGGCTGCTGGTGTTAATGAACGGCACCAGCTGTACCTGAACACACCACCATCAGGCTTGGGGAAAATGTCTCATTTGGATCAGGGTGGAAATACAGAAGCCCAGTTAGATTTCATTTTTAAACCAGTTTTGTGACTTGAAATTGTAAACTATTTATAATCTAGATCAAAATTCAATCTAAATTAATTCTCAAGACACAAAAAAACTGATACAAAGTGTTTGATAAAGGTATAAATGTGGTTTCTGAGCATCAATTATTTGTGATTTTTCAGAAAAATCATTTTTCCAGAGGTAAGGCATGACTTGAAATCGAATTATCAACTAACTTAAAGATATTCACATTTTTTAAAGTTACATTTTCAAGCCTTATTTGTGATAAGCATCATAAAGTTGGCTTTCTTCCACATGAACATTGTGAGAGATTTACATCTGGCCTTCATTGATGTGTTTGCTGTTTCCCTTAACTGCAGTGGCACCCAGCAGCCAATGCTTTCAATGCAGCTTGAACTGTAAAGTACAGATTGACCACCAGAGGGCGCCATGTCCGRTGCAAAAGCAGCACTGAGAAATACCAACTGGTTCTGCTTACTGGCTTTTTCCTTTAATTAGGAATGAGTTTTAAGAAGTTACATTTAAGAGGAAGCATAGAATATCAAAAATATGCAACCATTTAATTTATTATTATATTATTATATGCTTTTTTTTTTTAAAAACCTGGACTAGACTGCAGCTTGTAAGTCATCAGATGCAAATAAATTTATTGTTCATCCTTTGTTAAAGAAACAAAAACATAGTAGTCACTGAATTAACTTGAAACTGGTTAAATTAATAAGAAAAACCAACAAATTGATTTTGATTTTCAACAAAATCGTTTTAAACAGCAAACTGATGAAACTAACATTTGTGATCTTTCCTTAACAAAATGAAACAAATTTATCTGCACCTGTTGTCCACCTGAGCAGCAGCCAGAATGATTTATTTATATATACATAATATAAATAAATAATGATTTAGTTTCCCTGTAGCAGAACAGAAAGTCTGTTCTCATCTTCTGTTTGTTTTAGCAGCAGAAATAATGTGGACGTGTGCCGTTAGAAAACACTAAACATTTTAAGAACCGTCCGTTACGTTGTACATACCATATTTTTCACAGCATATTATATGATATTAATGCTGATTTAATGAACTGTGTTACTACAGGGGAGCATAAAGAGAGCTGGAAATATTTGCTTTGTGAATCTGACGTCCTCTTCTCGTTGTTTTGTACAGATCCCAGTTGAAATGGCACACTTTCCTGTCCTCTTTCAGAAGGAACGACTGACAGTTTTGCATGTGATTCCCTCTTTTCTTTTTTAATACAACTTCAGTGAAGTTAAGAATCACTTGATTATTGTACAAGTTTAGCATTTGACCAGAGTTGCCTCTCAGTGACACAGAAAGACGGTCGGAGCAGAAAAAGCCGTGTCAGCGTTTTTGCAACTTAGTATTAATAAATGCTAATGGAACTTGTAACGTGTGAAATGATGGTATGTTGTACTGAATAATGTAAGCTATAGATGCACTAAGTGTCTTTGTTGTTCTTCAGATACCTTTTCTTTTCTTGTAAACTACATTAACTGCAGTTGTTGACGTATATTAAACGCAAAATATAAAAAGCAACATGTTGTTGGAGAGAAGACTTCAGATGTGATGATATCATAAATATTGCAGCGTTTGGTTGGTAATGTGTGGAGTTTCTCACTTAGGATCCAAAAGTTTTATTGAGTCARTTCTAAAATGCTTCATGAACCAATAGAAACGTGAGTTTTTCTGTGAATTTTGAGCATATTTTCATCACTGGATTGTGACATTTGAATGAAACTTGCAGAAAATCATCACTGGATGCACATCTGCTGAGTTGCTCCCAGCACAGACGCTGAGCATGAACACATTGTTCAAAATGAAAATGTTCAATGGCACAAACCTGAATACTCCCCTCAAAATACTGACAGCAGGTAACTAAAACTGCTATAAAAATATCTAAAAACTTGAATCATAATTTTTCATTGACATGTCACATCGTTATGCTATATTTAAACCTTCAATATATATGTACTGAGCATGTATACATATATGCTATATAAGCATGTTGCATACTTAGCATGTATGTAAACATGCTAACTGTATACTTAGCATGTATACATATAGTATAAGCTATATGTAAACATGCTATATATACACTTAGCATGTTAACATGCAGCATGTTTTATGTAAACGTACCGAGGTGGACCCCCTTTTGCCATCAGATCTGTCTTAATCCTTGGTGTCACAGATTCAACAAGGTAACAGTTCTCAGAGATTTTGGTCCATGTTGACATGATGGCATCACACAGTTTCTGCAGATTTGTCAGCTGCACATCCATGATGTGAATCTCCTGATCCACCACATCCCAAAGATCTACTGGACAGAGATCAGTGACTGTGGAGCCATTCCAGTCCAGTGAACTCATTGTTGTGTTCAAGAAACCAGTCTGAGATGATTCATGCTTAATGACATGGAGCGTTATCCTGCTGGAAGTAACCATCAGAAGATGGTACACTGTGGTCATAAAGGGATGGACATGATCAGAAGATGGTACACTGTGGTCATAAAGATATGGACATGATCAGAAGATGGT